TAATTTATGAAAAAATATAGAATATATTAAGAGTAAATTATATATTTAAATAATTTAATAGAAAGTACTAAAAAAATTAGACATACTCACTACAGGAATTTACACATTCGGCGACTAAAAATGCCGACTAAAACAAATTTAGTCGCCAAAGATACACACTTTAGCTACCAAAATATATTTAGTCCCCAAAGATAGGAACTTTAGCTACTAAAAGAAATTTGGTCGGTATTGATGTTACTTTTGGCGACTAAATTTAAGTTTAGTCGTTGAAAATAGGACTTTGGGGTACAAAAAAAAATCTTGGTCTCTAAATGTACAATCTTTAGCTACAAAGAATAATTTAGTAGCTAAAGATGTTACTTTTGGCGACTAATTTAAGTTTAGTCATTCAAAATAGGATTTTGGGCTACAACAAAAAATTTTGGTCCCTAAATATACAATCTTTAGCTAATAATTTAGTCGTTATTTATCTTACTTCTAACGACTAAACTATTTGGTCAGCAATTGTAATTAATTTTTGGTGGGAGGATTTCCAATTTTTGAGGGATTCCTAAAACAATTAGTGACTAAATTATCCAGTTCGTCGGGAAAAACTAGTTTATTTCTTTTTGGCGACTAATAGACACTGATCGGGAAAAAAAGTAAACCTAAGAAATTAAGTCCAAAATCGATCTGTCTCACTCTCATTCACGCCTCTGTGTGACTGTCTCTCTCACTCTTACCTCACGCCTTTGTGACTCTCTCTCTCTCTCTCACTCTCACTCTCATTCTCGCATCTGCCCTCCTCTCTGTCGATTTGTCTCTGTGTCTTCCTCTCTCTATTTTCCTCCATTCCGAACTGTGAGGCGCCACATGTTGAAGAAGTGGAACAAGTATTGTTCCTTCCATCTCCATCGACCTCTTCATCACAGAGATCTTGTGTATTATCCATCTAATTCACTGCAAAATCACACTACACCCAACTCATACAATGAAACCACTAGTTTTCGAAGCATTGTCATTTGGTGATGATGAACAGACCTTGCTGAATCGATTGGAGTTTAATAATCGACCCAGCCCCAGGCCTCTTTTCCATACTCCATCTATGATATGTTGGTCATGACCCATTAACAAACATAGCATTGATTCCCATTGAGTTCCGTTCATTGAATCACCCACAAAAACTACTCTCTTCCCTCTGATCAATTCCAGCATTTTTGTTGCATTGAACCTAAGGAAAATAACAATATATATATATATATATATATTAGTAAGTTCTTTTCCTAAATCTGCTCCATTATTGATCTCAAAAAAATATACTTCTGAATCAAATGTTAAAGCATAACCCATCTGGATTCTCAAGGCCACAAATTCCAAAACCCACTTGTTAAATTGTTATTTTTCTTGTGAAATCAATCGGACCACATAAAACCCATTTTCTAGAATTTCCCAAATTCGTTTTTTTGTTGTTTTTTGGGGTTTCAATCGTAGCCCCAAAAACCACAATAATTATCTTTGGAATTTGAGGTATGTGTTGGATAAGTTGAAAATGCTGTGACCCTTAGCGAGAAAAGAGAGATGTGGTTCCAGAAACTTGTTTTATGATTTTGGTTTCTCTTAGAAAAATGTTCAAGCATT